CACTAAATAAAAGTGAATTTTTTTTAAAAAAGGAGCTTGAAAGGGTGTCCAATTATGAATCTTTCCCTGGAGACCCACTTATTCCTGCTGGGCCCTACACTGAAGCCACCTGCAAGGGAAGAGCCACCTGGTTTCACAAGCTCACTCGTGAATTTTTCTGGGAGTGGCAGGAGCAGTGGTGTTTTGGTGCACTGGGTCCTGTGCCAGATCTGTGCTACTAAAGTGTTACTTATGTGAAATATATATTAAGAGTGTAGGTGTAAATTAGCACAATAGGGGCAGGCAAAAGTTTTGTCCCTTGGGTTGAGCAGATTCCTTGAGTGCAGTTAAACAGTTCCTACAAAGCAAGTATGTCTCTGAAGAGAGCAAACTTACTGTCATAGAAAGACTGGCCCCATTATTCCTTCTCATTACTGAAAGGCTAAGTCTTGTTGATACAGTTGTAATGATATTAGCAAGGTCGAGGTTTAATTTTTACAAGGCTAAATAAAGGTAGGGATTAATGATGTGAGGGAAAGTTAAGTTAGGGAAGGGCCTAGAAAACACTTTTGAAGTGTTAGAAGAAACAGTAGCTGTGATCAGACAAAAACACATTATCAGAAAGTTTTGCTTTTCTCTTAAGTGTCCAAGGACCATACAGAGTCAAAATGAAGATAAAAGAGATCCTATTGAGAAGTCTGTTAGTGAACAGAGAGTATCAAAATACAAGAATAAGATTGATGGTAGAGTAAAGGAAAAGCAAATGGGTGATGAAGAATTAGAAAATTAATCTTTTCTTGGGTGGAAGCTTCTTTTTCTGCAATCAACATCATGTTCTGTCATTTTGGATCAGAAAGATTTCTGTAGTGCTGGACAATTCCTAAGAATCTTAAATTTAAGGTCTCTGAATGGAATGGACATTCAGTAGTCAGAAGAAAGTGTTGTATGTCTTTTAAGTTGAGATCAACACCTTGGAGTATTACTAGGATGTCAGTTGCTAACATAATCAGATAAGGTCTATTTCACTGATGCCCAAGGGCAGATTTTTCTCTCACGTCTTCTACAGATAACTAAATACCTGGATTTCAGATCATGTAGCATTTATACCTGGCGGGGGGCATGTTTTGGAAATGGAACTTGCTGGTGATAAAGCTGGAGGCATAGTATGAATCTCCTGTACTGTTCAGTCATATCATCTTGTAATAGGCTAGAATCTAGGATTGGAAATAATGCCTAAAAGCATGAGGTAGCTTGTTGTAACTCACAAGGAGATAACTTATGCTCCAGGAGGGAATTGATCTATCGTGGCTATCATAGATGATGGACATATTTTAGGCTTGGAAATGTGAGGTTTCTTAAAGCTTTGATAGTAATAGTTTGAGAATTCCTTGTATTCTACTTATTTTTCCTGAAGTCTACAGATGATAAGGATAGTGGAGAATCTGAGTAAAAGATAAAGGCTAAAGTGGGGTAGAGTGAATGCAGGAGGACTTCTGCCCACTATGAAAACTGAGATGTTGAGAGAGTGAGCTGACTGAGAGGTGATAAAGCAGACATGCAGAGAAAAGATATGTCAAGAGAGTCCATTTCCCACTTTTAGGTCTGTCTAGGACTTGTCTATTTTCCTACTCACAAAACACCCTGTATTCTTATAATAATTTCTCTCTCTCCCTCCCATTTTTTAAGTCGTCATATGCCACCGGTTCCCCTTGGCCAAAGTTTGGATGATTTGCCTATCAATTCAAATAATAACTGTAATGATTCAAAGCACATGCCATGTGCTTAAACCATGAGTAGATATAAAACTTTGAAAAGTACTGATTGGTCGCTAGTGGGGAATGTCATGAAGCAACTTATTATTTGAGAAATGTTTAAAGAGGAAGGAATAAGCAATTTATCCCTTTCATACATAATGATACTACTGAGTCCTCAATATGAGATGAGTTTCTCTTTTAAAAAGCATCCCAGCTAATTACAAGATGAATGAAAGAATTAGAATATCACCATTTTCAAGCCTTAATGAATTATTAGATCCACATATTTAATTTTAATGGTGGCTAATGCCATACACACATATACACAGAGCAACAACTAGATGTCATATGCCTCCTGTTGGAAGAAAATAACCCTATCTGGGAGGTATCCTTGCCACTTTTTATAAGTTGAACCTAAATATGAGCCAACCTCAAGTGTTTAAAAAGTAGATACTGAAAAAATGAAAGCACAATTTGATCCATACTTGTATGGATGCATTTCTACAATAACTTTCTTAATCATCAAAGGAGAGAGTGATATCTTACTTATGAACATGACTTCCCAAAATGTTGTCCTCTGAGAAGTTTGACATAGGTTGGCTTAAAAATGAAGATAATAACCATTACTTATAAGAAGAGAGAATGAAAAAATAACTCTGTAATAAAAATGGAGGCAATTTCCAAAAGGTTGACACCATCCTGTAGGTTGCACATTTCTCACTAGAGGGAGCTGGGAACCCACTGATAACTGCCAAGAGAGGCTGACGAAAACGTCATTTCACTTCAGGGTAAAAGAGTCTGAGTAAATACTGCATCGATTTCCAGAAGTTGGGGATTTTTCGATTTTCTTCAATACAGTCTTCTAATAATCAGCTAATAAATTTAATAAGCTATTATTGTAAGTAGGGTCTGGGGCAAATAAAAGATATGGGTTATTATCTTTGCCCTTCTGGGAGAAGAAATCCCTAGCATTCATGAGAAAGACCAAATTTTTTATGTTTTTTTTGTTTTTGGTTTTTGTTTAGTTTTTTGGTTTAATTTTTTTTTTTTTTTTTTGTTTTTTTTTCCCTTTCTTCTTTTTTTATCTTTTTGGTTTTTTTTCCCCTTTTAAATTTTTTTTTTTTGGGGTTTTTTTTGTAAATGGGGTTTTTTTTTTTCCACTCCAAAGCCAGTGCGCTCAGCAACCTGCCAGAACGCTGCCATCCACTATATCTCCTCTGATGCTCTCAGCTCAGAGACTGAACAGCCACCAGCCCTTCCTCAGAGGTGCTGCCATCACCCTGACCTCAGCTGCCCAGTCCTTCATTCCCAGCAGCAATATTAACTCAAGACTGCATGGAGCCAAGTTTTACCTAAGTTTTGGGGGAGATGACACTGTATCTTAAAAGTCCCTTGTCCCCCTACACCCTGCAACTGAGAACTTCTCCCTGGGCATCATTTCTCCTCATGTTCCAGAATCATTACCCCACCCCCCTCCCAGGTTGCAAAACCTGATTCTATCCTTTGAAATTTTTCACATCTCTCTTTATCCTACACTACAGTTCCAGTGTTCCAATATACCCTATGCACATGTGTCCCAAATATTGTATGGAACATACTTACACTAAAAAAAAAAACAGGAAAACTTTGTTTATCTGAACTTCAAATTTTATGAGGATCCTATATTTTTCTTAAGCCAGTAACTGTACTCTAGAGTCAGTGCTCTGTTTTCTCCAAGGAAACCCAGGATTTCTACCCCTTAATTAACCAAGTTTTATTTCATCTTATCCCAACCAGGCAATATACAGAAGAAAAAAAAATCACTTCTCTCCTTTGGAACAAATACTTGGCTTATGTTTTAAGTAACTGAGTTTTTCTTTCTTTCTGTCTCGTTACTATATCATCCATCTTTTAACATTTGCATTCAACAACTTAAACAGTGATTTGTTTTCAGGTTTCTTTATCATGACTGCAGGTAAAATAAACTCCATTCAAATCCCTCTGACCAAGCACCATAGTTCCTTTGGTCTGTGTGCTTCTTTGCTAGAACAAGCTAAATAAAATTAACTTTGACTTAAGTGTGCTCCTTGTAGTCTTGACTAGTGGCATTGACGCACTTGATTAACACAACATAAATACATCACAATCTCTTTGGCAAAAGAGAACATTTTGTTAGAAATGCACCTCCAAATGACAAAGATAGTCTGCCCACACACACTAGTTCAAGCATCCAGATAGCTATTACTTATTGCTAAAATGGAATAATGTTGTCAACTGTATCTTTTATATAAATAAATGTTTTTTATATGAGATAAGCAGTAAGAAAACTTTCACATATGAAGGAGTGTGTATTCTCAATGTCAGTCTATTCTTGGCACTCTGAATTATGTACGAAAATCAGTGATCCATCATCAAAAATTATTTTGAATGGTCAGCTGACTGCTAAGTTGTTTTTTCAATTTTGTTGAAAGCAACATACTGGAAAATCTGATTTACAAAAGGATTGTTATGAAGACTTTAGAGATATTCACTTTCTTATTCTGACAATAAAATGTTAGATACTGCAGGGGTTTTTACACATGGGGGTATGCACTATGTATATTCAAGATGGACAGCAAATTTTGTCTTTTCTTTGTAAGAAGAGTGGGGGTGGGAAGACTATGCTGGTAGGAGCAGCACAAATATAGGGGTTCTCAGGGAGACTCTGTTGGAGCTGAGCATCTGGAAATGTATCTTTTAAAATAAATCTTATGAACTTCTTGGAAAGTCTTCTTCAACTTTGAAGCAGGGACTGAAACACTGCAGAGCACAGAAATGACCCCAGCAGAATAATTAAATTAACTGAACGTTTATTTGCTCCAGATGAACATGGTCAGATGCACCCAAGTAAGAATGAGTTTCATAATAAGGGGACCAACGATTCTATGATGAAGGCTTCCTCTCACAGCGTTTCATGGATGCCATCCAAGTTTGCCTCAGCCGTCCTAATCTCGTGTCTTTCTCAACACCCCCTTTTTGCAGATTCTTTTTTTTTTTTACAGGCTAAAGCATTTAACCAGAGTCTATTGAAGCCTTGCTTACTGGAAGCAATCACTTGATTTTTGCTTATGTATGCACACATTTTACTGTTCAGTTTTCAGAGATAATCTATACACACGCTCCAGGTTTTCTGACTCTTGCTTGGAGAGGTGTCGAGGTCCTGGGGTTGCCGTTGAAGTCTTCCGGCAACGCAAAGTGCAAGAAAGGCAGCGGGAGTCATCATGGAGGATGCTCAAAAGAAGCCACTTTATTTTGCATAAAGCCATACTTTTTATACTGCTATAGTGCTAATTCATGATTACATAAGTATCCAAGATGCCAATACATGTGGCCTTCATGGCCAGGTGTCCAGCCTTCAAGGCCCTTATTTGGTCCTTACTCATGGGTACAACATGCTGTGTTTTCAAGGTTTCTTAAGGCCGGACATACTGCCTCCATACAAGGCCAGACATATCTGGGGTGAGAGCAGCGACAGCTGTCCTCATAGAACAGTAGGCAAAGTGGGGGTGGGGGCCTTCCCTACAAGCGACAACTTTACTCTTTCCAAAAGAAGACAGGTTGCACACGGAAAGCCTGTTGTGCTGCTCTCCGCAGCTCAGGGAGTCTGCGGGAATCTCTCCGCGACTGTCTGCACAAGCTCGCCTCGCAAAACGAACGCCGCGTATTCTCAACACTGAACAAGCACTAACGTAACCAGAGTGGCGGAGGCTAAGCACGCATGCGCAGGGAGAAGCTAGCGGCGGGGGCGCGCGGAATGGGCGCGCGCACGCGGCGGCAGACGGGTGACGGAAGTGTTCGCTGGCGTGGAGGCCGTGGACCCGGGGTGGGGGTGGCGTGCGCAGGGCGGAAGCGCCCCTGGGTCTCCCGCCTCAACCATGGCGCACAGGCCCGAAAGGAGTTTCCGGCAGCGCCGAGCCGATTCCAGTGAGAGTGACGGCGGGGAAGAGCAGGCGGCACAGGGGCCCCAGCGCCCTGCGCAGGAAGGGCCGCTCTCTGGAGGGGTCCGCGCGGCGGTCGTGGAGCGGCCCCTTCGCGCCCGGGGCTCTCGGGGCCGGGCGTGGGCCTGTTCCCGGCGTCCCCGCGCGGACGGCGGCTCGGGTGTCCGAGGTGACGCGGGGCGGCGGGGAGGCGCCCCAGGTGCGAGAGGAAGGGAGGAGGGCCGCGCGATTCTCTAGACGTGTCTGGGACCGCAAGCGATGCTGAATCTGCGGGCGGGAAGCGGCACAACCCGCCTTGGGCCTCCCGCGCATCCGGGTGCTGGGCGTCTTGGAGAGAGTAGGAAGAATCTTGTGTTTGCACCGTCAGATGAACCCCCACCAGTTACAGCTTGAGTGCAGTACCTGATGTTTACGAAGAACCTAAATCGTCACAGAGAGTTAAAAAGTTCCTATTACTCTTAGGTTAGCTAAACGTGTAACTTTTGTAAACTGACTCCCAATTATTTTTCTAGAAAACACTTAACGAGAAAAGTACATTAGAAGAACTAGGTGACAGGCTTTGGGACACTTGCTTTTGCTTTTATTTTTCATAAATTATTTGCAAAAACGGAAATGAAAAATTAACAAGGTACTAAACTTAAATAACAATAGATTGATGACATTATAGACTGTACCGGTAATGGCAGGAAATACAGTGTAGTAATTTTGAAGTTCCTTTGAGTTCTTTATGGGACTACAGCAGCGTACAGTTGTTTACATGAAATGTGTTGTGGTTTGAATCGGAGTTTAGTAAGAATAGTTTTTTATTAGTCTTGAAGTCAAAATTTTCTCCCCACTACAAGTAATTTTGGTGATTTCTTCATGTTACGACCTTCTGTTTAAAATGTTGAGGACTTTAGTATTTTTCTGTTCTACAGAAATATGGTTAAACTTTAATAAGGAGAATTGAGAGCAGCAGTTGCCTTTTTCTCTTAATACTAAAACAGTGGTTTTCAAACTTCTTGGTCTTAATATTCCCTTAATGCTCTTAAAAATCAAGGATCCCAAAGAGCTTTTGTTTCTGTGAATTATCTCCGCTAATATTTACCACATTAGAAATTAAGATAAATTTTTATTCATTTTTTAAAAATAACCCATTACATTAAGGATAGGTAACATTTTATTATTTTCTAAAAAATAGTAATTGGCATCTTCAGTTTGAAAATCTCTAATGTCTGTCTTAATGAAAGACAGCTGAATTCTCAAAGCTGCTTCGGCATGCAATCTGTTGTGATGTTTTGTGAAATATGTGAAGAAAACCACAGATAGTGGTTGAGAGGAGTACTTAGCCTTTTAAAATCGTTGAGGGTGTTCTGCTTCAGTATCGTAACAAAGTTCAAGAAGTAGTATTTTCTTAAATGCAGCATGGAAGTTGAAGCCACATCATTTTTTGGTACTCCATTGCATTAAAATCCATTGGTCTGTTTTACTCATTGAATAGATCTTTTTTTACCCATGCATGATTAGTAGTAGCATCGTGCATTAATTATTTGGAAAGTATTAACATTTTTTAGCAGATTTTGCAACTGTTGGTACATTATATTATACAGTATCAAAAATCTGTTGTTACTGTTTTACTACTGTTTTGAGGACTTTCGTCTTTTAAGTTTGGTGGAGAATATAAATTTTCCAAAACTCCAGTTTTCACTTGAAATTTCTCATTCTTTAAGTGATAAGCACAACTTTGCTCAATTTTGAGAAAAAAGTTGTTATATATCTGTGTCTGAATAAACTAGTTTGTCAGTCATTCTTTAAGCAAACTGGAGTTTCTCCTTGAAGACAGTGGCTAGTTCAACTTGAAGCTCATCACACAAGAGCTTTTGAGTCAACCGCTGCATTTCAGTACACCCCAGAAGTGCTTTATGCATGCTTCCATTTTGTTCCCCCTAGAATTTTTTTTTAAATGTGTCCTCAAGGGTCAAGATTTAATAACATTAATATTTTTTCTGTTGCTTCATTAATGTACCATAAGTAAAACTGTCCTCCCCGGCCCCCCATCCCCAACCTCCCCACCCCAGTTCGTGGAGGTGAAGAATACAATGGCTGCTGCTACAGATAGGTGTCACCATCTTGATTCTTACTAAAATGCTGGCAGTTTTGCCCCCTACTGCTTTTGCATCAGTATATAATATCATCGGACTAGGAAGGACAAAGAACATGTCCATACTGTGATGTTTTATAAGGTTTATATCCAGTATTCAAGTAGTTTTGACTTCACAGACCCCCTGGAAAGGTCCCAGGAACCTCCAAGAGTTGATGGACATTTGTCTAATAACCACGGCTCTAGTGTTAATTCGCTTTGGGAACAGGGAGTTGTCCTGAAAGCAGTAGCTAAGAAAGATGTAATCTGTAGCTATATCCCTTTGTCCCTTAAGTTTTTATTTTACTCCAGACTTTTTTGAACTGTATGTAGATATTCTAATTAAGGGAAGTTTTTAAGGTAGAGTATTATTTATGTAATCTTAAATTTCAAGGCTATTCATAAAAATTAAAAAATAGTTGTGAGCTAAGAAATCCTATCTTGTCAATAAGACCATAAATTCCTTTACATTTTGCTTACTCAATGCTCCAACACCCCTGTAGATGTTATCTCCTAATGTTGTATTTAGTTTAATAGATTAATTGACAGACTAAGTATCTTTTCCAAAATCACAGAATAGAAATTAAGAGATTAATGATTTTATTTGAGGCCATAGTGCCCTTACAGTATTTCTTGTCACTGGCCATTGAAATATGACATAACAGAGTCTAAATTCCAGAGTTGAATGACATTAGGTTGAAAGTCCTGCTTCACCACTTACTAACTTTTGTGACACTGGACATGTTATTTAGCTTTTCCAGTTCTGAGTGTCCTCATCGATAATAGCATTTACTTTATAGAATTGTAAGTATTAAATTATATAAACCTTGTAAAACATTTCATTGTGCCTAGGACATAATAAGTAAGTATTTTTTCTTTTTGTGCTACTACTATTTTTCTTTTTTCTCTGTTGCTCCCCTTTTCTCATTGCATCCTTTAAGGGAATATTTTGCTAGATAAGAGTACAAATTGGGTGAGTTTGTACATCACACCATCCATTGGTGTCAGGAGGAATAAAAGTTGGAGAAAAATATGTTTATGTGGAGGAAAATTAGACATCCTACTTATTAAACATATGCCTTAAATCGTTCAGAATTTCAATTGATTCTAGTATCTTGACTTTCTTGTTATATTCAAAAAATGTCCTGTTAGAATCCAGAACTATTGATCTTTCGACAGATGAAGAGGATGGAACACATCATTCCTCAGAAAGTAAGGATGATCAGAATTCATCTTCCGACAGCTCTAGTTCTCTGGAAGAAGAATTTTCATCAGTAGGTTTGTAAATTTTATAATTTTAGTTAAGAACTTTATTTCTAATATCAGTATTTTCTATACCAGTGTTTCTTATTAATAATACAACAAACTCTAGTGAAGTGTGGGGCATGTAAGACATTACAGATTTTTGTCTAAGTGCAAAAATTGACTGCTCATTTCCATTACATACCATGCCCAAGACATGTAACAGGCAGAGGTAAGAGACACCTTGTAAGAGGCAAAGCTAGGATTCAAACCCAAGAAATTTGCTCCAGAATCTCTCTTCATAACCACTGTGGTGTACTGGGTGATGCCAGCCAATATCTAAAGAATAGTAAGAATTTGTCAGTGAGGATGTTTCAGTACAGGATGTAGCATATGTAAAACTCTAGGGAAGATTATGTAACAGAACTAAAAATGTTGGACAGAAATATTTGGAGTTTAAGGAGAAGGGACAGAAGGAAAGAAAGACAAGTTGGAGTCAGAAAATACAGAGCTTGGAGGTACTACTGAAACTTTTATGCAAGTAACTGATGTGACCGATTTTGTGTTTTAGAAAGAACAGTTCATAGGTTGGCAAATTGCCACCGGTGAGCCAAATGTGGCTCACCACCTGATTTTGTAAATTACATTTTAGGAAAACACAGCCACATTCATTTAGTTATGTATTGTCTGTTTTAAAGTTAAGAAGTTGGAACAAAGACTTTATGGCCCACAAATATGAAAATATTTATCAGGCCTGTAGCTCAAGGGTTCATAACTTGTTTTGTGGTGTGGAATCCTCAGTCTTGTGAAGCAAGCCTAAGACCTGTTCTGAGAAAATAAAATGTATAACTTTACAGAGGAAACAACTAATTTGAATATAATTGTTAAAATATATTTTTGAAGACTTCTAATATGGTAACAAGTACTTTACAAACTTATTAAATAGCAAGAACCAAAAGCTCTTGTATTTTTTTTCTTATATACCTTCCTAAGGTACAGAAGTACTTAGCAAAGTCAATATTAAGTATTAAAGCCAAGTAGACAAGTAAAGCCTTGTCCATACTCTAGATACAGCAGTGTCTGTGATGATGTGAAAGTTCTGTATCTTCACCATCCAGGACCATTAGTCACTCACCACATGCAGCTGCAGAGCTCTCGAAATGTGGCTCGTATAACTGAGGACCTGGATTTTTTATTTGGTTACACTTAAACATATGACTGATGGTTAATATATTGAACAGAGCTGCTGTAGATTATCATGGATGGAGCCCTATAAGGCAGTAGTTGTAAAGTTTCGGCCTCAGTGCATATTTAGGAGAAAAGGCAGTGTTTGGAAATGTGTGAGATAGTTTTTAATTGTACTAGTTACTGAGGCGTTACTGACATGCAGTGCCTGGAGCAAGGAGCTGATTAAAAGCCTCACAGAGTACAGGACAGTCCACACAGTGAAGAGTTGTCCCTCCTCAAATGTCCTCTTGATAAACACTGAAGATTGAAAACTTGTCCTGTGTAAAATATACTTTTCTATTTTCTGAAGAGGAAAAGCTGATAGAGGAGGAATATGATAAGTCTGAGGAATGGCATGTGGACAAAGAAGTGCTTTATTTTTTGTTCAGATGATAGAACTATTAGAATGATCCAGTAATGGAATACCTGCCTTGAGATAGTCACTGTTGCAGATACTGCTTGTTACCAGTGGGACATGATAGTTAACCTCCATTCCTTTAATAGGATGATGTATGTGAAAATTAATGAGTTATAAATCTTAAAAACAGTGATTTCAGTATACTTTCATACTGTTTCAGTGAAACAGATACTTCTAGATTTGGTTCATTTCTCTAATTTATATTTAATCTCTATCAAAGTAATTTCCTTCTGTTATTGATGTAGATTTTGAGCCATTCTTACAAAAATAGTGGAAAAATTAGAAAAACAGTGCATTCTTTCTGTATTAAAAGTGAGGAATATTTATTTCTTCGGTGCTTGGTTTTCAGTGTCCTCCTCTGTTTCTTTCAGTACATATCCCTGATGCAGCTGTTATTCAGGCAGCCCGCAGAAAACGTCAGCTGGCCAGGACCCAACATGACTATATTCCTTTGAATGTAAAACATACCTCCACCATGTCTGGTATGAAGGAAAACAGTGACGAAGATCCGGAGAGTGAGCCTGATGACCATGAAAAGAGAATAGCGTTTACCCCAAAGCCTCAAACACTTAGACAAAGAATGGCGGAAGAAACAAGTACATATTTAATTTATTTACAACATAGGGACATTAAGGCATTTTTCATTATAATATGATAAAATCTCCATAAAAACCTAATGTCTCATAGTCTAAAGGGTATTGAGTTGGTTTTTATTTAATGCCAGTTTGGTCTCTAAAAGACATGTCTGTATCAAAATGGTGTTATCAAAGAGTATATTCAGTACTGTTACTATTATCTGACCTCCACTTGATCTTTTTTGACAAGTTAAGAAAAATTGTAGTATCTTGTTTTTGATACTGAAAATTTTCATTGTCACCTTTATGAAGATTTTTTTTAACATGGAAGCACCTATAGGGATTTTAACTGTCATGTATTGAAGTCATCTCTACTCTAATAAAAAATGTCCTTTGCTAGGACTACTCACATTTCTCATTTATAGGCAATAATGTTTAACCAAAGGTTTTGTCACTTCAGGTAATGTTTTTCCAGAATGAGACTTTTGGTTCCTTATAACTCATAAGTTATTTTTTAAATATTTAGATTCTCAGGTAGAATTAAGAATATCTGTTAAGGAAAACCAAATGTTCATTTTTATCCAAGTTTTTTCCATATGTGAGACTATAGTATTTTGACTTGGACAGTTTGGTGATAAGTGTAGATCGGGGCCAGATTTTGCTACATTTATGTCTCAGCTTCAACGCATCCCTCAGACAAGTTGTTTAACCTCCTAATAAGAGTTTCCTCATTTATAAGATGAGCTTCCCAGAATATTGTAAAGGGCTGCTAAACCAGCACTTTATAAGCTCCCTGAAGATGTTAGCTGCTGCTATTAAAATGGAAGAATATTGAGTATTTATTTATACATGAACCTTCTTTTCCCTAGCAACCAGAAATGAAGAAACAAGTGAAGAAAGTCAGGAAGATGAAAATCCAGATATTTGGGAACAGCAGCAAATGAGGAAAGCAGTTAAAATCACCAAGGTAATAATTTTTTGTACCATATATATAAATTTTCTGTGTCTGCTATAACATCACACAAACTTGATAGCCTAAAACGAGACATTTATTCTCTCATAGCTGTGGAAGCAAGAAGTCTAAAATGAAGGTGTTGGCAGGGCTGTGTGCCCTTAAAAGGCCCTAGGGGAGAACGCTTTTCCTTTTCCAAGTTCTGGTCTCTCCAGATATTCCTTGTTTTGGATGGTATATAACTCCTGTCTCTGCCTTCTTCATGTGACTGCCTTCTCTGTGCCTCTATCCTATATGTCTCTTATAAAGACTCCGGTCATTGGATTTAGGGCCCATGCAAATAATCCAAGATGATGACATCTTGAGTGCTTACTTACAACCACAGAGGCCATTTTCCAAATAAGGTCGTATTCATAGGTTCTTGGGGTTAGAACATAGGCATATCTACCATTCAACCCACTATACCATGTAATTATGTTCTTTTCCCACTAGATGATAAAAACCTTCCACATATTGTAAGCCACTTGAGAGACCTAATCTTTTTAACTTTAATTTTATAGTAACTGACAGTATATGTTATGTGGTAGGTACTTAAATGTAAACTTTAAATAAATAAATAGATTTAAAACAAAGCTAGCAAGAAAAATACTTCTGGGGTCAGAAGTATTTTGGCTCTGCCAGTAAAATGCCAACTTCATGAGGTCAAGAATTATTAACTATTTTATTCCACAGTGCCTAATTTTGTGAGTACCAAATAGTTGTATGACTTTGAACTTATCATTTAATTTTTCTAAATCTCAGTTTTCTCATCAATAAAATGAGAATATAATGTTACAGACTGAGTAGGTGGCCATTAGGCCCAAAGTCATAATGATCTAAATCAAAGTACTTAAAAATTATACAGTAATATGCAAATGTAAGGTTTCCTTTTAGTCTTTTTAGTAAGAATGCTTTGAAAGATGATTTGCTCTTTTTAAATAAGAAAATATTGTAAGATCACCATGTTGTTAAAACTAAAACACTAAAGGGAAGCCTTTGGTTGTAATTCAGAATCTCTGACCAAAAAAATGATTTAGGTGACTATTTTTAGACTATTACAGGTTTAGAATTTTTTTCCCTTTTTTAGTAAAATCAGTATACCAATAGCATTAGAAAAAAATACTTTGAAAAAAATTATGCAACACTCCTTACTCTAACTCTCAAGTTTGTGTAATTCCTTTCTGCCTAATTGCAGTCATAATGTACATCCAAAGCTCCCAAACTTTCTCATTCACAGAGCCCTTAGTTTTTTGATAATTTTTTTCTGGTGCCCCTAGGCCAAAGGAAGTACCAAACAATTCCACTTACCAAGTAGTTAGCACCAAAGAATTTAATAATATTTATGTCCTAATAAGTTAGTAGTCATTTGGACAAAATAATACAGTTGGAGAAAAAAACTTCATTTTCAAGTAACCACAGTTACTAATGGGATGCATTCACCTGTTGGACACTGTGTGACTGCTTAACCCTTGAATGAGATTAGCCACTCTCTTCAGTTCCACTTTGATTTTCATTCATTACTTGTTTTTTATTGTATCATTTGCCAAAAGCCCAGCATCACTAACAGCTTAATCAAAAGGAATCTTCACCAAAATAATAAGACTTCATCAAAAGCACAATCTAATGTTGCAGCTGTGAACTAATTAGAACTTTTAATTCAACAAATATTGAGCATTGCAGTTTCCTTCAAAAACTTGAAGTAACTACAGCACTCCTTTGAGTTCACTAGGATGCCTTGATACCGTTTGGGAGCCACAATGTGCACGTAGTTTTGAATTCTGATTTTTTTGTATGATATGTTATATTTTCTTCTGTTTCTTCATAGCTATAATAGTAACTAATTTTAAAAGCTGCATAATATTTATTGTAGTCAATAAATCATAATTTTCTTAGCCATTCTTTCAGTGACATGTTAGGTTATTTGCAATCTTAATTATTTTCTTGTTAAAAATAATTGGTAAACGTTCATTTATCTTTTGTTACTTCCCTCCTTTTCTTTTGTGCAGATATGTGTTATCTTAAGATAATGGCCAAGAGTGGCATTACTGATAAAATAGATGAATATTTTGAGGGCATCACTTATTGCATGTTTCTCTGTTGCTTCTAAAGGAAATTTAGATCAGTCTGTAATACCACTGATATTATAGGAATGTTTCACCACAGTCTTGCCAGTTTTAGGTGCAAGTTTAGTTGGTGAAAATGGAATCTCAAGCTTATTTGATTTGCCTTTTTTATTACCAGTATGGGCACATTTATAGATTGCTTTATTGAAATCTACCTCATGTCACTGTTGGTTTCTTGTGACTGCTGTAACAAATTATCACCAACTTGGTGGCTTAAAATTAGACATTTATTTTCTCACACTTCTGGGGTCCAGAAATATAAAATCAAAAGTATTGATAGGACTACACTCCTTATGAAAGCTCTAAAGGATAACCTATTCTGGACTATTGTAGCTTTTGGTGACTGTTGGCATTCCTTGGTTTGTAGCTACATCTCTCTTTGTTCCATCTTCACATGACCTTCCTTTTTGGCATCCTAAAACTCCCCCTCCCTCTTTCTTACAAGGATACATGTCCATCGTTGCATTTAGGACCCCTCTGGATAATCCAGGATAAGCTCCTCCTCCTCCAAATCCTTAACATAATCATTGTCTTTTGCCGTAAGGTAAAATCACATATTAGATAATACTAGGACATGGACATATTCTTTTGGGGTCACCATTTAGCCACTACTGTCTCTTAACAGTGATAGCACTAGAATATACAGTCTTTGCAGGGAAGAGACAGCTAAACAAAATAACTACACTGAAATCTTAGACGTTCTATGACAAAACTCAGTACAGGGTCCTGATATGGCACAAAGGAGCAAGTGGGTGGTCAGTTTTATAAGAAGGAAGGTTAATGAGACTTGGAAAAGCCTCTGTAGAAGTGGTCATATTTGAATGAGTCTTTCAAAAATGTTTATGATGTAAGGGATTTGAGATAAGAGAAGGTATCAGGAGTAAAGATAAGATTTGGAATAAAAATCTGATTACTTTTGGGTTTTTTTAGATATGATTAGAGCTGGTTGGGAGGCTTGGTAAGAATTGATGTGAGAAATGATGCCTCATGAAAAGTGTAAAAAAGATAGTTAAGCCAATGAATTGGCTAATTATCCGATTCACTTCTTCACATGTCCTTTTTTAAAACAGTTTCTTAGAACCTTTCCAAAATTCTAAGTTTGGTGGTGATAAGCTGTGAGTAGCCAGAGGACAGTAATGTAAAATATACCATGTTACAAGATGTCTTAGTTAGGAATGCATTCCTCTGCAAATAGCAGTAGCATAAACAAAGCTAAAAGCTTTACTTAGAAACCCTCCAGCAGACTTCCATTTACTTTTCTTTGACTGGACCTGATTGAGGTGGCCACTTCTATCATGGAAAACAGGTATTCAGATTTCTGAGAGTACATTAAATCACAAACAAAACTATCTTTACAAACACTGAGAACCAAGCTTTTGTGAGAAATAAAATTTTATAATTTACCTCATCCATATGAATATAAAGTTCTAAGTTTTAGAACTGTGTGAGAATTTTTAAAAATGTAAAAAATGTGAAAATGTAAAATGTGTAACTATAAAAGACATCAAAGGCATGGAATTTTGAGCTGATAAGACCTTGCAGTAACAAATTTACTTTCATGCAGTTAATATTTATAAGATTAATGAATGTTTAAAATAACACAAGTATTGATATTTTTAGGGAGGGAACATAGATCTTGCCCAGAGCAGTGAATTTCAAACAGTGAAGAAGTTTGATACCTCCATTTTATTTCCACCAGTAAATTTAGAAATTATAAAGAAGCAGTTAAATACCAGGTAAGTAATACTTATTTTAAAATACATGTGTCCTAGACATTTAATAGTGAAGAGAACTAGCACTATATTCTTTTTAATTATTAAGTACAAATATTAATAGTAAACAGCTTTGTAGGAAAAACGTACCATACTAACACAACTGATTTCCTTTTAGTCTTAACAATAGATAATATGGTTAAAATCAATAAATAATAGATTTTGCTTTTCTTAATATATTCATAGCATTTATCTGCTTTGTTAAAAAGCTTTTTGTATGTTTTTTCATTGAAATTGATATTTAATATTTTAGTTTCAAGTTTGCAACATAACAATTTGCATCACCACCATAAATACAGTTACTGTCTGTCATCATAGGTATTTCAATAATGACTATTACCTGTGCTGTACATCTCATTCCTGTGACTTATTTTATAATTTGAAGTTTGTACCTCTTTATCCTCATCACCTGTTTTACCCATCCCCCAACCCCCTCCCCTGTGGCAGCCACCAGTCTGTTCTCTGTATTTATGAGTCTTTTTTGTTATGTTTATTTATTTATTTATTAATTTTTAGATTCTGTGTGTAAGTGAAAAATCATCTGGTATTTGTCTTTCTCTGTCTGACTTAATTTCACTTAGCATGATACCCTCTAGATCCATCCGTTTTGTTGCAAATAGCAAAATTTTATTCTTTTTTATGGCTGAGTAATATCCCACCATATAGATATACCACATCTTCATTCATCTATCAGTGGGCCCTCAGATTGCTTCCTTATCTTGGCTATTGTATATAATGCTGCAATAATTATGTGAATGCATATCTTTTTAAATTAATGTTTTTGTTTTCTTTGGGTAAATAATTATAAGTGGAATTACTGGGTCATCTGGTATTTCTGTGTTTAGTTTTTTTGAGGAACCTCCATACTGTTTCCCATGGTGGCTATACCAGTTTACATTTCCTTCAACAGTGTAAAAGGGTTTCCTTTTCTCCACATCCTCATCAGTACTTGTTATTTTTGATACTTGCAATTCTGACTGGTGTGAGCTGATACCTTTTGGATTTAATTTGCATTTCCCTGATGATTAGTGACGTTGGGCATCTTTGCATGTGTCTGTTGGCCATCGGCATGTCATCTTTGGTAAAATGTCCATTCATGTCCTCCACCCATTTTCTACTGGATTATTTGGTTTGGTTTTTTCTTTTGGTGTTGGGATGTATGAGTTATTTATATATTTTGGATTTTAGCCCCTTATTGGATGATATATCATTACAAATATATTGTCCTATTCAGAAGGGTGCCTTTTCATTTTGTTGGTTACCTTTGCTGTGTAGAAGCTTTTTAGTTTGGTGTAACTCCACTTGTTTATCTTTGCTTTTGTTTCCCTTGCCTGGGGAGATATATCCAGAAAAAAATTGCTAATGCCAATGTTCAAGAGTTTTCTGCCTGTCTTCTTGGAGGAGTATTATGGGTTTAAGACTTATATTGAGGTCTTCAGTCCATTTTGAGTTTATTTTTGTATATGGGTAAAATAGTGGTCAGTTTCACTCTTTTCCATGTAGCTGTCCAGTTTTCCCAACACCATTTATTGAAGAAACTGTCTTTTTCCCATTGTATATTCTTGGTTCCTTTGTCATATATTAATTGGCCATGTAAGTATAGGTTTATTTCCAAGTTCTCGATTATGTTTCATTGATCTGCATATGAGTTTGTGCCAGCACCATATTATTCTGATCACTGTAGCTTTGTGGTATAGTTTGAAATCAGGACTTGAGATACCTCCGACATTGTTCTTTCTCAAGATTGCTTTGGAAGTAGCCTTTAAAAATAATATGTTGGGAGTTATGGCAGCAAGATGTCAGGTGGGAATTCCCAAACCTCATTCCTCCAAAGAGATACCAGCTTAACAGTATACAGTCCTGAACACCTTTATGAGAACCCCAGAAATCAGTTAGGAAGCCACAGTACCCCAGGCAAGCTTAAAGCCAAGAATAACCACAATAACTGAGTAAGAAAAACCATTTCATTTCAACTACATCAGCCTCTCTCGCAAGCCAGCACTTCTTGTGATAGAAGAAAGCCCAACACAGCTTCTCTATCAGGAAGGAAAAAGAAAAATGGAACATATATCCAGTGTTCCAGCTTTTTCAGGGACTGCCCGAGGAACCATGTAGCCTCATCTGTCTAAGAGAACTGTTGAGAAGCTAACATACCTCGGATGCCATGGGGTGTCACAGAACCAGGAGCTCAGCCAGTTATTGCAGAGCCAGAAAGCCTGCATTACTGCAGACAGGCACCAGAGGGGGCAAGAAAGTACAAATTCTGAAAAAGAAACCCAAATCTAATTGGCAAATTTCATATAGAAACCCAGAGAAGATTTATCCCCCATAAAATGTTTGCAAAGACACCATCTCTCCTCAACTGCCCCACCCCCACCAAAATCCCTAGCCAGGCTAATGGGTGGAATTCCTCCCCTGTACAAAGCTATTTCCCTTAATGCATTTTCAAATGCACAAAACACAGCAACAAAAAAGACACATAAATAAACAGAGAAATATGGCCCAAAAGAATAAAAGAAAGCTCTGGAACCAACCCTAAGGAATAGAGATCTATGAATTACCTGATGAAGAACTCAAGATAATTCTTTTAAAGAATTTTAATATGTTGAAAGAGAACACTAAGGCAACTAAACAAAATCAGGAAAATGATATATGAACAAAATGAGAATATCAACAAAGAAATAGGAACTATAAAAAAGAACCAGAGATTTTGGTACTGAGAAATACTGAAATACTCACTAGAAGGGATCGACAGCAGACTTGAACAAGCAGAAATGATGACCTCAGAGAATGGTAGTTTGAAATTATCAAGTCAGAGGAACAAAAAGAAATAGAGAATAAAGAAAGTGAAAGAGGTCAAGGGACTTCAGGAACACCATTAAGCAGAACATACACATTGTAGGAGTCCAAGAAGAGAGAATGGGGAAGAGACCTTATGTGAAGATTTAATGACCAAAAGTTTACTGATCTGAGGAAGGAAATGTATATCCAACTTCAAGAAACTCAGGTGACTCCAATAAGGATGAACCCCGAGAGGTTTACACTGAGATACATTACAATTAAACCTTCAAAAGGCAGAGAGAGAATTTTGAAAGCAGCAAGACAAAACACCTTATCACATATAAGGAAGCCCCGTAAGATTATCAGCTAATTTCTCAACAGAAACATTGCAGGCAAGAAGGGTGTGGGATGATATATTCAAAGTACTGTAAGAAAGAAACTGCCAACCAAGAATACTGTATCCAGCAAAACTGCCCTTCAAAAATGAAGGAGAAAAAAAGACCTCCTCAAATAAACAAAAGCTGAGGGAGTTTATCACCATTAGACCTGCCTTACAAAAATTGCTGAAAGAAGTCCTTTAAGTTGAAATAAAAGGATGCTGAACAGTAGCACAAAGCATATGAAAATATAAAACTCTCTGGTAAAGGTAAATACATGGACAAATACAGAATCCTGTAGTACTGCAAGGGTGGTGTGAAAATCAGTTTTAATTCAGGTATTGGATTTAAAAGATAAAAATATAAAAAAACTAACACTGTATTAATGGATACAGAATTTTAAAATGTAATTTGGGACATCAGTAGCAAGAAGTGAAGGGGAAGATGTGGAGTAGTAGAGTTTTTTTATGTTAGAAGTTGTTAGAAAATAAATTATTAGAACTATAAGATGTAACCATAAAGAAAATACCTATAGGAGATGCACAAAGGAAAATGAGAAAAGACTCAGAGCATGTCACTACAAAAAACAAAGCACAAAGTTTGCAAAAGAGGACAAGAGGAACAAAAGAAGTACAAGACAGCAAACAGTTTGCAAATTGGCAATAGAAAGTCCTTTCATATCAGTAATTAAATATAAAAGGGTTAAACTCTAATCAAAAGATAGGCTGAATGGATTTTCAAAAAAGCAAGATCCTACTATATAATGGTCTTCAGGAGACTCACTTAGTTTTGAAGGACACAGGCTGAATGTGAAAGGATTGAAAAAGATACTCCAGGCAAATGGTAAAAAAAAGGCGAGACTGGCATTACTTAGAAAAGACTTTAAAACTATTACAAAAGAGAAGACACTGTATGGTATGAGAGGATGAATTTGTCAGGATAGTGTAACAATTATATATGTGTCCAACATTAGAACACTTATCTATATTATAAATTTTGACAGAGCTAAGGGGAGAAATAACAATACAATAGTATGAGACTTCAGTATGCCACTTTCAGTAATGGATACAACATCCAAATGGGAAATCAATAAGGAAACAGTTTTGAACAAAGTAGACTAAGTGGACCTAATGGACACATAGAACATTCCACCGAACAGCAGCAGAATAAACATTATTTCAATGTACACACAGAATACTCTCCAGGATAAATCACATGTGAGGTCACAAATAAACCTTAAACAATTTAAAACTGAAATCATACCAAATGTCTTTTCCAAACATAATGGAATGTAACTAGAAATCAGTAACAGGAAGAAAATCACAAATATGTACAAATAACACACTCTTGAACAACCCATGAATCAAAGGAGAAATAAAAAAGAAAATTATAAAATATCTTGAAGCAAATGATAACAAAAACATATTATGCCAAAAACTACAGCAAAGCTATACTAAAAGGGAATTTTATAGCAGTAAACACATTAAACAGGAAGAAAGATCTCAAATCATTGAACTAGAAAAAGAACAACTAAATCCAAAGTTAGCAGAAGGAAATAATAAAGATTAGAGCAGAAATAAACATAATAGAGAATAGAAAAACAGCAGGAAAAAAACAAATTTAAGAATTTTTTTACTTTAAAAAATCAATAAAATTGACAAACCCTAGCTAGACTAAGTAAAAGACAGAGTAGGCTCAAATAACAAAAGTAAGAAAGACAAGGCATTGGAACTGATGCCACAGAAATAAAAAGGATCATGAGAGACTACTGTGAACAATTGTACACCAACAAATGATACCCAGGAAGAAATGGATAAATTTCTACAAACATACACTCTATCAAGACTGGTTCATAAAGAAAGAAAAAATCTGAACAAACATGTTACTAATAAGGAGATTGAATTATTAATCAAAAACCTACCAATAAAAAGCTCTGGACCAGAAGGCCTCAGTAGAGAATTCTACCAAACATGTAAAGATTAACACCATTCTTTGCCAAACCCTTCCAGAAAACCCAAAGAAGAGAGAACTCATTGTAAGAGGTCAGCATTACCCTAATCCCAAAACCCCAAAGATAGCTACAAGAAAATTATAAGCCAGTGTCCCCGATGAATATTGATGTAAAAATTCTCAACAAAATGCTAGCAGATCTAATTCAGTAACACATTAAAAGGATTATACACCATGGCCAAATAGGATTTATTCCTGGAACACAGAGATGGCTCATGAAAACCTGTCAGTACACTATACTACATTTACAGAATGAAGGACAAAAACCACAGTCATCTCAGTTAATGCAGAAAAGAAAGGCATTTGACAAAATTCAACACCCTTTCATGATAAAACACTAAACCATGTAGGGATGAAGGAAATTACCTGAGCATAAAAAGGCCGTATGTGTTTGTCACAAACCCACAGCTGTCATATTCAGTGGTTAAAAATCTGAAAGCTTTCCCTCTAAGATCAGTAATAAGTCAAGGAGGCATATCCTTGCCACTTCTATTCAACTACGTATTTTAAGTCCTTGCCATAGTATTCAGTCAAGAAAAAAACAAAAGGCATCCAAATAGGAAGAAATGAAATTATCTCTGTTCACAAATGACATGATCTTGATTTGGTTAACCCTAAAGAGTACACACACACACACACACACACACACACACAAAACCCTAAAGAGCGTGCACACACACACACACACCCCTGTTAGCACTAATAAATTCAGCAAAATTGCAGGATACAAAATCAATACACAAAAATCAGTTGTTTCTATGCATTAACAAATCCAAAAACTGCAGTAAGAAAACTCTTGTTTACAATAGCATTGAAAGGAATAAAACCTAAGAATAAATTTAACCAAGGGAGTTAGAGATTTATATACAAAACATTGCTGAAAGAAATTGAAGAACACATAAATAAAGGGAAAACATTCCATGTTCATGAATTAGAAGACTTAAGATTGTTAAAACATCCATGTTACCCAAAGCGGTCTGCAAATTCAGTACATTCCCGATCTGCATTTTTTGCAGATATAGGGGGAAAAAGTCCTAAACTTCATACAGAATCTCAAAGGACCCAAGCCTTTTGGCTTGGTTATTGAGAAAGAAAAGCATAGGCAATGAAAGCAAAAATAGACAAGTGGGAATACATCAAACTAAAAAGCTTCTGCTCAGCAAAGGAAACAATCAGCAGAACAAAAAGCAGCCTATGGAGTAGGAGAAAGTATTTGTAAACCATGTGTCTGATAAGTAATAAATATCCGAAGTATCTATATAAAGAACTCATACAACTCAAAAAAACAATCCAAACAAAAAATGGGCAGAGGACTTAAATAGATACTTCTCAAATGAGACATATATATACAAAAAAATTGAAAACATTTGAAAAAATATTTGCACACTCTTGCTCATTACAGCATTATTTACAATAGTTTAAGGGTGGAAGCAGCCTAATTGTCTATCAACAGATGAATGGATAAAGAAAATGTATTTATATACAATGAATATTAGTAACCTTAAAAAAAAAGGAAATCCTATGATGTGCTTCCATGAATGAATCTTGAGTACTAAGTGAAATAAGACAAAAAGATAAATACTACACATGATTCTACTTATATGAGGTATCTAAAATAGTTAAACTCTTGGAAACTGAAAGTTGCCAGGTAAGGAGTGAAGGGGGAAAAGGAAATTGTTGATCAGTGAGTACAGAGTTTCAGTTTTGCAAAAAGGAAAAATTCTAGAGTTCTGTTACACAACTATATGCATATGATACTACTGTACCCTTAAAAATAGTTGACTACAATAAGTGTAATATTTTGTTCATTCATACAGTTGATATAAGTATTTCTCTGTCAAACATTTGATTTCTAAGTCTCCTCTATTATAAATAATGGCACACATAAGGACAGTTTGTTACTGTAGGTCATTTACTGTATTTCATAAATTACCAGGGAAAGTTGACATGGGCTAAGTTACTCATATTTTTACGGCTCTTGATACAGATCACCTTTCTGAAGCACAGCTAACATTTATTCTACTGCTATTGATACTTATCTCTTAAACAGATAGTATTAATCTCAGTGTAAATAGTGGGGTTTTTGATAAAAATAAGGCAAACCCCATGATAGGTTGTTTTAGGTACTTATATCTTGTTTTACTCTTCAGGACCTAGTGAGCATCTTTAGATGTATGAAAAAATAAGTATGAGCATAAAAGTCTAATAAGTCCATATAATATTTGACACAAGGAGAGAACTGGGTTTTTCTGCCAAAGCAAGGATTCTTAGAAAACATTTAAAGCACACTGATTTTTTTTTTAATCGGGAATTTTTTCTAATACCTGGAAATAGGTTCAAAATATCCTTCCCCTGTATCTTTTGTATAAATCAGCTTTAATGTAGCTTCATCCCTTAATTGTATTGCATCTAAAATATGTTGGTCATGCTTGTTCATTTAAATGGTTTGAAGTAGAAGAGGACATTATGTAGCATTTTATAGTGAAATAAATTAGGAAAATCTTTAGGTGAACCAGTTCTTAGATATTTAATTATCTCTGTATTCAAGGGGACTGACAGACTACCAGCTCACTGCCTGTAAGTTTTGCTGGAACACAGACAGGCCTGTTCATTTATGTGTTATCATTGGCTGCTCTTGTGCTGCACCACAGAATCGAGTAGTTGCAGCAGTGACCATCTAGCCTCCAGAGTCTAAAACATCCACTATTTGGATCTTTGTGGAGAAAGTTTGCCAACTCATTCTAGATCATTGTTTTTCAGTAGTGATGTTAAATGATGAGATTGACTTGATTCAAGATTATTTTTGTAATAACATCACTTTCATTTACTGTCCTGAGATTCCTTCCTTGGTTGACAGGAAAGGCCTAGAATAACAGTAATTGCCTCTAGAATTGAATATAACTCAGAATGTATGCATTTTGTTTTTTTGTGGGGTTGCTTTTTGGGGGGGCAGGGGGAGATTGTGTTTGGGAGAGTTGTTTTGCATGAATAATAAGTAATAAAATAGAAAACTGGTAGACCTTGGATATAGGTTAGCATTTTACGGATAGATGTTATTTTAATTTTAGTATATTTTCTTTTTTATTTATTAACTGTGTTCTTTATTTTAAAAAGAAAATGTTCTTATGATGTAAAGACAAGAGATAAGCAGTACAAAAGGATATACAGAGAAAAGGAAGTCACCTTCCCCAGAGGAAACCATTACTGCCAGTTTTGTGTTTCCTTCTGGAAATAGGCTGTATGTATGACTATCCAAGCACATGTATACTTATAATATTGCCCCATTTTTTATACAAAAGTGAAGCACACTAATACCCTGTTCTATACTTATCTTTTTACATAATATGTATATAGAAGATCACTGCTGTAACCATAATATTACTATTAAAGCATTTATTAATAATACTTGTTATATGATGTATTTCTAAACTGTCTCTACTCTTATATAAAGCAAGGGAAGACTTTGAAAGACAAATGCATTAGTCATCATGCCAGGGAAACCTAGAAAGAGGACATTTGGCCTAAACAAGTGCTTGCTAATGAGTTTCTGTTACGGAGGTTAGCAGAAGGAGTTGAATTTTGAAAATTAAGTTTAATTCAAGTACATATACTATGAGTTTGTTATTTCATTTGTACTTAATCTCTAATTCCAATGTGCCCACAGTGTCAAATATTAGTGGAAAACACAGTCCAAATACTTTTAAAGGAACAGTGTCTCTTATTACTCCATTGTGTATATGGAGGGATAACTGAATTTTAAAAGTTAGACTTTGAATTATGTTATTAACAAGAGCTGTGAAAAAGGTGGCTGTCTTAACATCAGTAAAGCAGTATATAAGGGGCTCTGGCAGCAACAGAAAATGAAGTGCACTTTGTCAAGGAACATGAAATTCTAATGACAAATAAAACAGAAACCAGGATGAGTCACAAAGCAGATAAATTATACCAAATCGTAATGTGCTTTAAATGGTTTTACTACCAGCTGATTAACATCCCTGTATCCCAAGACAAAACACACTGATTCAGCAGTAACTCCACATGGGCTCCTGTGATTCAAATGTAATACCACTGATTGTTCTAGCCTCTCACCTAGTTTATAAATTGTGATCAGTCCACACCTATACTAACTTCCACTCTAAAACTACCCTGTGATTAGCTCAAGCACCTAAAAACCTACTTATCCCTTCCTACCTTTCTCTTTGAGACTTCTTTCATTGTGACACTCTCCTTTGCTTAACAAGTCTCATAAACCCAGGTTTATATGATTGTCAGTTTCCTTGGTGGTCTCTGTAAGGAAGCTTTGAAAAAAATTTCATTGGACTGCTACTTATAATAGAAATAAAGTTTGAAAAATAAAGCAATCTTAATTTATTTTTATTTATTTAGAATAACATTACTACAGGATACTCACCGCTCACACCTGAGGGAATATGAAAAATATATACAAGATGTCAAGAGCTCAAAGAGTACCATTCAGAACTTAGAGAATTCAACAAGTCAAGCTCTAAATTTTAAATTCTATAAAAGCATGAAAATTTACGTGGAAAATTTAATTGACTGCCTTAATGAGAAGGTACATGGTTATAAATATTTGTATCATTTTCTTTTTATACAGAAATCCCTTGACATGTGATTTTTTTAAAGTCTGAATCCCACAGCTAAATCCTCTGCTCTGGTGCTGTTTTTCCTTCACATTTGTGACATACCATGATATTAAGTATTTCCTTAATGTTGGACAGTTAGGGGTTTTTGCACAGTTTTGCATATAAATTTTTGTGTTAAAATTGCATCTAAGAAAAATTCCTAGAGAGTAAATTAAGTCAGTGGGTCCAAATGTTTTTTAGGCTTATGAAACATTGCTAAATTGTCCTCCAGAAAGATTGTATTGTTTTTGTTTTTAGTTTATTACATTAAAAATGGTTTTTGTTTTTATATATTTTGATCTCAAACAAACCCTTTATTAACTCATGTAGTTTTCTTCCTGTGAATTGTCTCCTGTGCCCTGTTATATTTTCGTTCTTAGTGGGGATTTTTTTCCTTATAGAATAATTTTTTTTCTTGTATGATAAATAGCTCTGTATTGTTTGAATGTTAGTACTAAAATTTGTTAATGCTTGATCCTACTTGATGTAGTTAAACTTACCAGTTTTATCTTTTCATTTTGTTTGCAGTTTTTTTTTTACATCCATTTATAATTTTTTGAGTAATCAGATTTATGAATAATTCTTTCCCTTTGTAGTTGCTGCTTTTGTTTCCCATGTGCCACATCCTTTGGGGTCTTGAGTTGTCCTTTATTCAAGTAGACTAACCATCTTAAAAATACACTCTTACTTTGTTCATTGCTTTTTATTTATATTTAAAATGTTACCAAATACTTGGATATTTTCTCCCCTATTGTTTTAACTACCTTTTAATATCACTTGTAGTTGCTTTCTGATATATTTATTACAGTGTAACTTTCTCTTTTCATTCATCTTTGAAGAATTACACTGTTAAAGTCTTATCAGCTTACACATTGTGTATCCATGGCTACAACTGTGGAACATCCTTGGAGTGGGGGCAATTGTTGCCCAAGAAATTAAGAATGCTAATTTCAACTAATCACTCATGACTGTTTTATAGCTTTTTTACCTGTCTGGTTAGCTCTCATATTCTCCACTTTTCAGATTTTGCCAGTTTCCTCAAGTGTCCCCCACAGTGTGCCCCTTTAACTTGTGAAAATAGTTGCACCCATCATTTCCTCATCCTCTTCTAGCTCAAACAAAGAAGAATCCTACTCCTTGTGTATTTACTTATCTAGCCATATTCCTGACTTCAGCCCTTTTGGTTTCTTTACTTATGATATTCATAGCTGTTCTAGTACACTAAGTTGATTTTCTGGTTTTATTAATATTAAAAGTATGGCAGCTAGGTCTGATCATCACAATTTTTTTAAGTTAAGATGTGATAGTATTGAAAATGTTTCTTTATATGAGAATTGAGTGTACACATATGATTATATATATTATTTTTCATCATTCATTATTGATGACCCACAAAATGTTACTTATATATGTATTTCAGATTGTCAGCATCCAAGAAATAGAGTCATCCATGCATGCACTCCTTTTAAAACAAGCCATGGCCTTTATGAAACGCAGGCAAGATGAATTAAAACATGAATCAACGTATTTACAACAGTTATCATGTTAGTGTTTTTGATGTTCAATATAATTTGTTATTCATAAGCTGAATTTATCAACTGGAGAATAAAAATATTTTTGTATATCTATAAAATAGATTTCTATGTATTTTCCCATCTCCTTTCTTAAGCCCCAAACACTTAGAGCTAGGGCTTTAAAATATCTTAAGTCTAAGACTGAAAAGTAAAAATTGTAACTTCTAATCATTTAGTAGTTGAGAAAATATTTATATGGCCATTTAATGGCTGTTTTGAGATAAGTAGACATACATCTGTAAACTGTCAGAAATACAACTTTATAAAGTTTCCTCAGCCCTTCCACAGATTGGTTATGTAAGTTAAAGAAATTCTGTGCATTTCAGTGTAGACTCACTGTAAGATCTCATTGTGTAATATTTGGATGCTGTCTTTGAGGTCTCACACTGGTTTTGTATTTTCAGAGATGTCCTCCTTTGATTAAGGTGCCATCAGGAGACAGTGAAAGAGAAGATACCCCAATAGCAGATCAAAGCACAAGCACAATGACTTTCAAACACATGACAGTTAGTTGGTCATAAATTATGGTACATACTATAATAGGAAATAATATGAAATAACATATTGGTAATGCAAATATTTATAGCATTTGGCCACAGGGACAGAAATAACTGGTGATAACTGCTGAAAAAGAAAATGAGGGAAAGAAACGAAGTAGAATTTTGTTACTGTTCTCCAGTGTTAAACTGCATTCAACAGCCAAGGTACATATTCTTAGGCTAGAAAACTCAATGTATGCCTGTCAATATCTGTGATCAGAAGTTAACATTGCAGTTTTATTGTGTGATAAAATATATAGCTTAAGTATATTATATGTGTGTTTATATATACCCAAGATACAACTTTTGTTTTCAAACTATCTTTATTTCTTTTGACAATTTGCAGTATAAAATCACTTTTACTCATTGACAGGCAAAGCTGAGACAAGTGTAAGGTTGACTACAGATGAAAAAACTCAATGGATTTTACAAGAGATTGAATCTCGAAGGTAGCTACATAAAGTGAAGCATTAAAGCATCGAGCGAGTATTTTTGACTACTTAGATATAATTAACCGTATGATATAATTAACATATTAACTTGTGAGAATGATGTGAAATCAGAATTTAGTTAAGCATCCTCAACCTCAGGGTTGAGTTAAAGATACACTGGTTGTATTTGATCAGTCAGAAGGATTGGGTAAAATGGCATTTATCAGGCTGGGAAGTGCTCATACCTAGAAGCCAGTTCTAACTATATATATATAGTTACCTCTGTCCAAAATCTGGATAGCCTATGGGAATGCCTTATAAAAAAAAGGGAAGAACCACCAAATAAGGAAGCTACAGTGTCAAAATATTAACAAAAATGTGCAGGAATATGGTGGTGTGTTTCTGGACATTTTAAATAAATATTTCTACTTTTTGCTTTAAAGCATTTATTTTCAGCAGGAGCTATTTGTTTTTAATTTATTTTTGGTCTGTTACAAAATAAAGGGCCCAAAGAAGACAAGCAAGAGCCCTTTCTGGGAATTGTGATCATCAGGAAGGGATGTCTAGTGATGATGAACTCTCGTCAGCAGACATGATTGACTTCCAAAAAAGCTACGGTCAGTTTCCAAGTTTCTAATGTTTCTTGATTTAAAGTATTGAAATGGTAGGAAATGCCTCACTGATTTCCCTTAAATATATAAGCTATATGAAATCATTGGGAAAATTCAGGGAAAAAAAGGAACACATTTTTTCCAAGATTTTTTCTTATCTCTGAAAAAATGGAATAAAATGGAGGTGCATTGTGAGTGTTCCTGCATCTTACAAGTTTTCTCCTTTAGCAGTCCTCATCTTCTGTTATAAAGGAATTGTGAACATTTTTTGTTTCATTTCTCTACTATGTACTTTGATATTACCATTATTTTATTTAAAACAATTTAAACTGAGTTTTGTAAAGCTATTAGCATTATAATAGCATTATAATAGGGAAGGTAAAATCTGTACAGTTGAAAAAGTGTGGGCTTTACAGTCAGGTAAATGGGTTCAAAGAATGGCTCTATCCTGTGTGATCTTAGATTCTTTGATCTCT